ATGAAGGCTGACCTAAATACGGTGCTTTTCTACAGATTACTTTATTACAACACAAACTAACTGTATCACTATAACATGATGATTATGGTGATAAAGAATGCATCTAACGTTCCGCTGTTCATTATAATAAAATAAAAACAGAGCATTAAACAAACCATCATGCTCTTACTTTGAAATCATGCTGAAATGTCGTCTTCAGCAGGCCATCACGTGGTTTCCGAAAATAACCGAGTGACACGAGTAGATTTTAGCCGAGACCGGTGTAGGTACCATATCTGCACGGCCTACCAGATACAAAATGGATTCACAAATGCCTGATCGAAAGTTGTACATGTTAAAGAGATAATCACAGATCTTTTTTTTATTTGTAAAAATATTTTGCGTATTTGCAGATCCGTTTTACACTTGCAAATGTATTTGTGAGTTTGCAAATCTTTTAAATGCATTTGTGGATGTTGTTTTACATTTACAAATCACATATTTACACACAAATTATTTTTATGTTCACACAAATAATTATGAGACATATCTACTGTATGCCCATAGAAATGGAATTGGTTACAAAACCTAACTACACATCTCGATTCTCCGGTGTGGCAGTATTTTGGATTCAAGTCAAATCAACGATGCGAACCTACAGTACGGACTTCAATGAGCCGGGTGGTGTGTCGCATTTGTTTAAATAAGGTAGCGACAAAAGCAGGCAATACCACGCATTTTAAACTATACCTAAAACACAACCACCCCATTCCGTTTTCCCAGCTGGGAGCAAACACGGCAGCTGGAGATGGAGAGCCCCCACCTTCCCGACAGTTTACAATCAAAGATGCATTTACCCGACAATGCAAACATGTTGGTGTTCCTTGCTCGAAATCTTTGAAATACAGATTAGGATATGGCCTGTTGAGGCATCTGGGTCTTTGTATGGACAGTGGACTGTACACTTGACTGTTGTTTTAAGGAGGGTTTTTTTGCTTGTGAGATAATGTGTGCTCATATTTATTTATATATATATATAGATAGATAGAGAGAGAGAGCTCTGTCTTCCAGCCTGACTATTTAATTTATTGTTTTGGTTGTGTGTGATATAATTAATTTATTATAATTTAATTAATTTGTTTTATTTATTATATATAATTTATATATTTTAATATTATTTCACATTTCATTTGCAACGTTGAATGTTCAATAAAAAGTTATGTTTGAAAGCATGTACTGGAATTATTATTATTATATATTATCATTATGTCAGTGGTCTAAAAGGGTCTTACAACGGTGCCGACAATATTATCGTTTATCGCAATCATTTCCAGAAAAATGTATCGTCCAACAAAATTAATTATCGTGACAGGCCTATGTATGCTGCAACTATAATGCTGTCTGTTCATGAATGATATGAGCAGAAGATGATCCTGCCACAATGTGCAGGTTAGTACAGCCACCATTCAAAACAGTTGTGTTGACTTTCCCAGTATTACGTGTGTGATCCCAGACTTGCAGGAGAACACATTTGAATTGGATATGCGACCAAAGAGGCATGGGGAATCTCTGTTTGCACTGGGTTCCATTTTATCGCCTGTGACATGTTTGCTGCCGCTTCAGTTTTTGAAACAATGGTGTATTATCACTATCACATGGAGCTCTCTTGTTGCACCATTATATTGTTTTGGAGTCAACCTGATAACTCATTCTGAGCGTGAACGTAGTCAGGCACACGTGGAATGCATGAGACAGACAATGAAATGTCATACCGTCAAATACTGCTGCTTTACAAAGCTGTGAAAAGCGGGAACATTAGCATTGCTGACTGTAGAAATATAAGTAACCTTACAATACAGGTTCAATAAACTATTTGGTATGTGCATGGGTTATATTTAATTTGCCGTGCACCCTTTGTCCATGAGGGTGACAGAAATGAGCCACAGATGTCATGCTGTCAATTATAAAATGATCACCGTACAGATTCCTCTACAAAGTTATCACACACTTCTCACATGTGCCCACCTGTATTAGAGCTGATGGTTTACATCTGTTTTCAAGACCTTGCGTAGGAATCTTTATGTATTGGTTTCATGGAAAAAAGGTAAAACATTTGACTATCTGGATCTTATTTCCCCCTGCTGTGCATAGATTCCTTTGAAGCTCATAAGAACATGTTCCATTCTTGAGTAGCAGAAGAGACATCTTTCCATCACTGACAGCACAAATTCAGAAATATTATACTAATGTTCATACCAGGAAGCTGATTCATATAAAGAATACTTCTCCTCAAGCCACCTACATGTGCCTTCTATCAGAAGTCAAATTACACTTTCAGCAAGGGTGAGCATGCAGAGGTGCATCGGACTGTTCAAATGAATAAAACCCAAATCTCAATAGGTTAGATCATGATGTGTGGCTTTTATAAAAATGATTATGCGTGAGGGTTATGCGAGTTGAAGGCGATAATATGCATTGAGATGACTGCATGCCAAATGTTGTACATGTGAAGAAGATGTGTCATGCATAATAAAATCCCTTTCCTCTGGGCATACATACAGTACAGTGTGGATATTAAGGTTTAAACAAAATCCTAAAACTTATCCTAAATTGCAATAAACTCTATTCACTGTGTTTATAAACCAAGTTATTCTAAGAATCAGTTTTAACATAACAAACAGAAAGGTACAATATTTTTTTTAATAACCTCTATTTTTGTCTGTCCTAAAAAGCGTTTTATTTTCAATCTGAAAAGGTTTTTTTCCTCCTTTACCTGTCAAAGACTATATTTTGAGATGATTTCCTTACTTGATAAAGGGTCCCAAGACAGAGGGTGTATGCTGTGCACAATCTGCAGCCACTTAAGGAAAAGTGTGTGAAATATAGACATGATGGATGAGTGTCATCATAACGTTTGCCATTGCACAATCTACACTAAGCTACATGTACACTACGTTACATAAAATATTGGTTTCTATTTTGGATTCGTAAAATAACACGCTGATTTATCGTTCCCTTTTATGGTTTTGCACAGCAATTATTTTCATTTGGTGTCTCACATGTTTTCTTATCTGGCTTATTTTGGTATTCTTGGACTCTGGTCCTCGGTAAGATGGCAGATTGGGATATTGGCAAGCAGCTTGTGGTCTGGCATTCGAACCTAAACCTCCCAATGTGCAGTAGTTTGAAGTCAGCCACCTGCTAACGGTAATTGCCCGGTCCTTTTCAAGAGGGAGGCCCTTCATTCTCGCCTGGATGAGGAAGAAAACAGGCAATGGAATGCAAATTGTGTGAGGGATGAATGGAGGGAGTAACCAAGGTCAACATATTAGGTGTACTTTAATAAGCAGGGACAGGTCAAGGGTTCAACCGTCCCCTGAGGTGTTTATGGGAGATGGGAGGAGAAAGGGAAACCAATTTAGAGCATTAATTCAGCTTGTGTACAACATGTCAGTTGCACACGCAGACACATTTCACGTTGTGACCATCCGCTCCTTCAAAATCTGGTGATACTCCATTGTTTTTCTTCTTGTCAACAAATACGGTGAAAAGACCAAGAACAAAAATCTATTGACATTACAACAAGTGCACTACTTGTGTAGCCCAAGCCTAATCTATCATATTTTATGGGCAAGAGAGCTACTGACAAATGAGGCTAATGTCATTAGTGTCGAAGGTCCTGGACTACTTACATTTTGACCTGATGGGGCTCTTAAAGATCTCCTATCATGCTATATATATATATATTATATATATATATATATATATATATATATTATATATATATATATATATATATATATATATATATATATATATATTATGGGTATATACAAATCATGTCTATGATGTGTTATGCTCAAAATACCAAACAGATCATGCATTTTAGACATCCCTCACATCCCTCTATTTCAGCCCTGTTAGAGAAGGTCTGATTCTGTGACTGTAGCTGCTGGCCCCGCCCTCTTTGGAGCACGGTAAGGCAAGCAGTGAGGTCTGTGACGAGCAGGCTGACTACTCTGCTCAAATAAGCAAAAAATATGTGATTAAACGCCATATCATGTTCCAAACCACTTCAAGGATTATTTATGCAACAGTATGGAGCTCAAATGCTTTTTTTCTTGCGGGTTTACCACAAGGTGAGTTCCTTTTTTTATTTCCTGCTTTTTTACACATACTCTCTCCAGTACAGGTTAGCTCTGGCTGTTAGCGATGCTTGCTAATGAAAACACAGACCATATTACATCCAAAACACGTCGCACATTGTTTCAGATAGCAACGTTTCTGATAGGGCCGTGGGCGTAAAGCCAGCCCACATCTCTGATATTATGTCATATCGGACGCAAATCTGGATCAGCTCCGTTGTAGCCCCGTTTTTAGAGATTTGGGTACGGAGGAAAAGAGAGAGGGTTTTATTTTCTGACACTTTGTGAGTTCCCTGACACACCGGGGACACATCTTTATGTATAAAAGACATACACAAGTGCATTTTGCATGATAGGACACCTTTAAGTTATAGGATTGTCAATGTTCAGGGAAACATTAACAACTGTATAAAATGCCATTGCAATCCATTCCACCCATACTTCCAGTGTGTGATTACAGTCTGGACCAAACTTTGGTACAAACTGGTCGTCTTTCATGTTTGCTTTTGTCCCGGATACACTGTCTCTCTGCAATAAAATACTACCAAACACACTGATTGGCAGGTGGAAATAGTCCCCAACAAATGCATTGTTTACTCAAGGTAATTCTATTCATATTTTGTAGCGTATTAAAGGGCCAAGAGGCATTGCTTTTTCCCACAGATGATCAGACTTCTTACTATTCAAATGTAGTATATTCGTTGAAAGCACTTCAGTAAATCCCCTTTGGTCGACAATAGGATAACAGGATAATGATCTTACATTAGAAATGAGTTTTTCTTCTTTAGAAAATGTTCTCCTCAAATCCTCCCATTTGTCCCATTTACCATTCATTCATTGGTAGCAAATATGTGTGCACTATGAGTGTATTCATACCTGGGCAATGTTCTTGTTGAGTAAGTAGACACCATATTCAAAATGAAAGCGCTCTCCTCTGGGGTACAAAGGGAATCTGTTAAAGACAGGAGAAAAAGACAAACATGGTGTTACACAAGAACAGGGGATGTATTCCTCCTGATCCACCGCCAACAGAGTATGGAAACAAAGGCATTAAGACACTCAGGAAACACATACATTCCAAATAAGCACAGTCAAGCTTACATCAGCAATATGTACATACTGCATATCATATAGGTATTTCCATGTGAAAATGTCAATAAAGGATGGTGGGATTAAAAGGGTCCATTGCTTATTCATTTTACTTGATTGAAACAACTGTAGCTCTTTGGCTTTACGATATGCAATGAATTCTTTCCATCATTAAAGTGGCCGTTCCTGTAGCCAGAGGCGTTTACAGTCGCTAACACTTGTAGATTGCTGATGAAGCTGGGTCCGGGTCTATGATCCCATCCCACGGACGCCACCTCCCTACCTCGTTAAACTGAAATATCAAACAGGAGCGGAGGCGTCCAAACAGCCTGTCCTTCTGCCTCTGAGCAGGAACAAAGAGAACTTTTACTTTGGTGGGAAAGTCCCACTGTTGCCCGTCAGATGTCTTAGTTGGCACTTGCTCATGAAGGATTGTGAAGATATCCCTGGGTGTTGGGGAAAGGTGAGAGAGGAATATGCTGACATGTAGAGGGAACGTTATCGTTGCTATCGGGGACTTGAGGTTGGACTCATCCCTTCCTGTCATTATGTGCTTATGTCTGCTGATCTCCCACTGAGGAGGGTTACATATTTGGGAGAAAACAGTCCCATGAACCAAGCAGGACTATGGCCTGACACACACATCAACATACTTACATTGACCCTTTGTTATCTAAATGCTTATCTTAGACCTATCTCAACTCCATCTCTAAATACCTCACCTTGACCTTCAGAGTAACCCAAACCTAATCCCACTCTTAACCTCTCACCCAAAAACTGAATAAGTGCTTGTTAAGAAAACAATCTCAGAAGATTTGCATGACTCCTTTCTGCACTTGACATCTGTTGTTTGTAAGCACAACATTCCAACAACACACGTGAGATTTGACCAGTGCCAGGTACTGCCATATTTAACTTCCATACACACAGATACAGCATCCATGCAGTGAGCCACATAAGCAGCTGTTGTTAGTGGCAGGAGGCCATGTCAAAAGGGAACGAAAAAGCAGAGGAAATATTGTTGTATATATGAGCCTTTATTTCTGAAAACTAACTAGTAAAGCTTGTGATATTGTGTGATCCCATGTGAGGGAGGCTCACTGGAAAACAACAGCACAGTTCTTCGCAGAAATGTCAACAAATTAGAATAACATGCACCATCTCATTAAAATGGGCTGTCTCTTTTATATGACAGTGTATTCATTTGCTTTTGGTGTTAGTTTTGTTAGAATGGATGTTATCATTGACTGCTGTGTCATAAAGACATTATGGATATTAATAGAACTATAACCACCTCGTTTGTGTTGGCTATTCTTCCTCCAATCAGTTAAGTTAAAGCCCATATTTATGCATTTCCAAAATGTAATCATCTCATAATTGTATCCTACGTAGACATTTTTGAGAAACTGCGATTTTTAGTATGGGAATTCTAAAGTTTAGACAAAATGATGTTTTATGAGGTCAATGCAACCCCCACCTTTTCACCACCAAATCAATTTGCCCTTGGTTATAATACATATATATATAATCATGAGGTCCAATTCCTTGGACCTCATGACTTGGTTTGTGCTCTGATATGCACTGTCAACTGTGGGACCTCATATAGAAAGGTGTGTTCCTTTCCAAGTCATGTCCAATCTATTGAATTGCCCACAGGTGGACTCCAGTCAAGTTATAGAAACATCTCAAGGATGATCAGTGGAAACAGGATGCACTTGAGCTCAATTTTCAGTGTCAAAGCAAAGGGTGTGAATACTTATGTACATGTGATATTTCATTAAATTATTTTAACACGTTTGCAAAAAATTATTTTAAAACGTTTTCGTTTTGTCATTATGGGGTATTGTGTGTGGGATAATGAGAACAAACATGAATTTAATCCATTTTGAAATAAGGCTAATAACTAGCTGTGGGGCAGCAGATGCGCTCTGATGTGTGTGTTCTGTACAGTATGTGCAGACATGTGTTGAATGCTTTGCACATGTGTGTGTTAGTGTGTACTGGTGAGGATGTGCATCCGGCATGCCTCCTCTCTGTGTGTGTGTGTGTGTGTGTGTGTGTGTGTGTGTGTGTGTGTGTGTGTGTGTGCCCCCCGGGGACTAGGTCATGGTCTTCCGTTAATCCTCAGTGAGATCAGATACAGGGTCCCCCCCTTTAACTCTGACCTATAGGCGCTTGCCTCAGTGTGAGAATCCAGCAGAATACACAGGCCTCAGCGCTGGCACTTCACTGGACTCTACTGTCAGATCCTGCTAACAGCACTGGAACCCTACAGCTTCAAGTATTGATTCAGATGTGATGTGACATTCTGAAGGCCAGATTCTCTCAGACCTTGATGCTCTGAAATCTTTGATAACACCCACGTTTCAGCATTTCAGCTGTACAAGCATATGACTTTGATAACATGAACCCCAGGATTTTGTTTTATTTCATCTGTTTGTTTTCCCCTACTCGTATCTGAGGCCGTCTGGAGATGTCAGACAACATTGTGACCTCATGCTCACTGTAAACACCTCCTCACTCACACTGTGACTTTGGGAAGCTAGGAAGTAAACCCTAAACAGATGGAGGTCATTCTAGCCGTTCCTAACAGGATGTTGCTTCTAAAGACTGGCGAGTAAAGAATGAGACGATGTTGCCTCGGGGCCACACTGCCAGCCACTTTTTAGCCCTCCATATCCCCGACATGCAGCGAGGGCCCCATGGAGAAAGTGACATGCCAGAGGTCACATCTAAGCACTAGGAAATAACTAACAGAGAGAGGAAGAACAACAAAACAGGCATTCCCCTTGCGCCGCTGGCATTCCCAATATCACTTCCCCACCAACAGATAGGATTTGTTTGCTGATGGACACTCAGGAAAAGGAAAACAGAGCTACTTCCAACACACATACGCAAAAACATGAGTCACATCGTCACAGCCAAGTGATTAATGACCGCTGTCCACTGCGTCTGAAATCACACTGGAGAGACTCAGGTTCACCAAACACCAGGAATTCCTCCCGGGGACGCCCAGCAAAGTCAAATATATTATTACACACCAGCGGGGAGTATCCAGGGAGGAAGGCAGAGGACGAGGGAAGGGAGGAGGCGACAAAGCAGTATGTGATCTGGTTAGCCAGCACACTTTTATACATGATCTACTATGATTGATTTGTCACACCGAGATGAAAACGCCGTACCTAATATAAGAGGAACTTGCCAAGAAAATGCTCCAAATAAGCAAAAAATATGTAGATCAAGAAAACAGTAATGCAAGAAGTCAAAATAGGAAGTCAATTTAAATGAACATGAAGATAATTCATTCATTTTGGTGTGAAAAAGTAACTTGCAGAGGTGGGAGAAGTACTCAGAGTGTAGTCAAATACCCATTTACAAATAAAAGCCCTGCAATGAAAATGTTCCTCAAGTAAAAGTAGAAAAGTATTTGCATCAAAATATACTCAAAGTACCAAAAGTAAAAGTAGTCATTGTGCAGATTGGTCCATTTCAGAATAATATATATGATATGTTTTATAACTAAAGAATGCAATTCCTGAAGAAATTGCTAGTGGGAATGCTTTATGCTGAAAAGCTGACGCTAAACTGCTATGCTGAAATGTAATGTGTAAGAAGAAAGTGAAGAATTTAGATTGAAATGATACATGAACACTGGGGGCTTGAATGTGTGATGAGAGAAGAAAGTAAAAAGGCTTGGAAAAGCAGCAGAATATTTGAACTGCAAACTTCTGAACTAACTTGATGGTGAATGATCTGTCGCCATGGCAACGGCATTTGATGACACCCCATAATACGCTTAGATGTGTTGATGGCTGCATCGTTACCAAACCTGTGAAGTTTTGGGGCGTTTGGAGCAGTTTCACTGAAGTTATGAGAAAACCGTGTTTCATGGTGAGTGTTGTGGAATATTTTCCAAGGCCCATAACTTTGACCCAGTGTATCAGTTCAAACTGTCCTGACTGAGCACACGCACCTGTAACCTTGGCTGCTGTGCTCTCAGTGTTTTGTCTCCCTGTTCCTGCCTGTTGGCATCAGCTGATAGAGGTGTTATCATTCTATCTTGTTATGCAGCATGTTGATGATGCTCTCTGAACTAGCTAAATACATGGGTCTGGGATAGAGTTCTTCAGAATTGACGTGGCAACTCTACCGTGAAGTCAGAACCTCTGGCTCTTGGACTTGTGATGTGAATCCTCCGGCCGTTAACTCCAAATAAACCATCATGTGTTTGACATCAAAGCTACTGCTCTTCCCGTGTCTCCTTCCTGAGTCGGTGACTCCCACTGCATAGCTACACAGAAGTCTAACAGAAGTTAAATCCATTTCTCACTTATTCTGACATTGTACTTAACCCCAAATAAAAGAACTCAATGAAAAGAGTTGTTAAATAATGGTGAAGTCACGTTGTAATAACAATAACTCATCCCTCTCGAGTTTTATTTTTGAGCTTTGCCAAAAGCCACTGTGTCAACTGTCCTTCTTGGGTTGCCGTACGGAGTTGTCCAATATGGCGGACCATCTCGCACATGCGCACTGCAGATCGGGTAGTGACAGATGTCTTCACAGCTGGACTGTTAGCACACTGCTATCTGAAGTCTGCTGCTCTGAGCATGTCAGCTGGAGAGATGACATCATCGTGTTCCATGACACAGGTGTTTATAGTTGAACTAACGAGGTGTGCAGAGATCACAGGTTTCCATTGTTCTGAATGAGAGATTAAACTCTTACATGTGAACGTTTTGTGGAAGAACCGTAACAGATATTGGTGACATTTCAAAACGTGAAGCATGTCAAGGAAGTTGAGTATCTGAAGTGTAATTGTTGTGTAGTTTCGGGTTAATAATGTGGCCTTTTTGGCAGTTT